TAGGAATTTTTCCACTTTGGCTTTCCATAATTTAACCATGAACTACCCAGGCACCATTCTCTATGTATATAAACCTCCTCAGGTGTGTCAAATTGGAATCTGTCTTAGTCTGTGTGGGCTGATACAACAAAATACTGTAAATTAAGAAAATTATAAACAAATGAAATTTATTTTTTACATTTATGAAGGCTGTGAAGTACCAAGAGGTCCCACTTTAGGTTCACTATTCCTTTGTATTTGTGTGGAATGTGTCATTAAATCCATCTACTGATCTTAATTAAGTTCACTCATTGTTATATTCCACTCAAGATGTGCCTCATGAATATTTTTGCCATGGGTTCTAAAACCATGGCTGAAATCTTTAACCCATTCTTGCATTATTTTAGCATATAAAGATAATTATGGCTACTTTAAAATTCCCTTCTAATAACTAATAACTGAATTACTGGAAGGTACATTTATATTATATATCATTTTTCTTGGATTGGAGAGGCAATTTTTCTTCTGTTTTGCTTTTTTGTTGTTGTTTTTGAAGACACTATAACTTGGAATTGCATATAAGGCTTTGTAGATAAAAAGTTTCTATCTCCAAACAGGGTTCAATTTTCCTTTTGCCAATGAAATATCATCCGACCATCAATGTCCCATTAAATTGTTTTCTGACATTTCTGAAATTAGTCTATTTGTGATTTTTAATCAACTGCTTGGGTGAATTCTATACATAGTCATTTCAACAATGGCAGCCACAGAACACAAGAGGGAGAGGATCATCTCTTCAATAAATACTGTTGGTAAAACTGGATTTTCAGATGCAAAAGGATGAAACTGGACAGTTATCTTACACTATGTGCAAAAATCAAATGAAATGGTAACAGACATAAACATAAGGCCTGAACATAAAACTCTTAAAAAGAAAAGATAGGGGCAAAGTCCTTGATATTGGACTTGGCAGTGGACATTGGATATCAATAGCACAGATTACAAAAGCAAAAATAAATAAGTGGGACTACCACTAAAGCAATAAAAAACAATAAACAATATGATAAAGCAACCTACAGACTGGGAAAAATATTTGCAAGCGATATATCTGATAAAGGGTTAATATCCAAAATTTATAAAGAACTCATACAACTTAATGACAGAAAAGCAATCTGATTAAAAATTACACAAAGGAATGTGATGTTTATTTCTCCAAAGACACAAAAATGGCAAATATATATATACACACACAAATACACACACACACACACACACACACACACACACACTCAGCATCACTAATTACCAAGGAAATGCAAATCAAAATCACTAGGAGATATTAACTCACCCCCATTTGTATGGCTATTATCTACAAGAGGAAAATAAATGTTTCTGGAGAAAACAGGAAGTTTTTAATTAGTTCTTTTTAGTTATATATGACAGCAGAATCCATTCTTACATAATTATTCAAGCCTGGAATATATCTTACTCAGTTAGGATCTCATCCCTCTGGATGTACATGGTGGTGGATTCGCTGTGCTGTTTTCCTACATGTTCATGGGAAAATTACGTCCAATTCATTCGACTGTCTTTCCTTTTCCTGTCCCTGCTCCCTTCCCTCCATTCCCCATTGTCTAATCTACTAAACTTCTATTCTTCTCCTCACCCTTCCCCATTGTGGGTTAGCTTCCACATCAGAGAAAACATTCAACCTTTGGCTTTTGGGGACTGGCTTATTTCGCTCAGCATGACAGACTCCAGATCCATCCATTTGCTGGTAAATGTCATAAAGTCATTCTTCTTCGTGGCTGAGTAATACTCCATTCTGTATATACATCACATTTTCTTTATCCATTCATCTGTTGAAGGGCACCTGAATTGGCTCCATAGCTTAGCTGTTATGAATTGAGCTGTTATAAACATTGACGTGGCTGTGTCCTTTGTAGTATGATTTCAAATTCTTTGGATGTATACTGAGGAGCAAAACTGTTTACACTGACTATGGGAAGGTAGACTGGTACAGCCATATGGAAGACCATATGTAGGTTCATAAAGAAATTTAAAATAGGACAAACTCCCCTGTGGTGAGCCGTTCCTGTGGACTGTGGTTGCCATTACATGATGGCGCTGGCTCCGCTGTGGTCTGTGAAGGACAACTCCATATCAGAGAGAGTTGGCGTATTGTCAACTTCTTATCAGAGAAAGTTGGCGTTGTCGTTTTCTAGCACCCTGTGAGAAGGGTCCACGTGGCAGCTTCGCATTGGGGTTCGTGGTGTTTTATTAAGGCTGGGAGGGGCATCCAATTATTATTCCGGGGATTAGAAGAATTATTAGAAGAATGTCAAGGGCCTGAATAAACTGCTGAAAGAAGATTCCTGAGTCGCGTCTTCCTTGCGGGCAAGGGGGTCGTGACACTCCCCAGCCTCCAAAAGGTGAATATTTCTTTTCTTCATAAATTACCTAGAGTGTAGTACTCAGAGCAAAAGAAAATGGACTGAGATACTCATGTATCATTTTAACTTTTGTTCACTTTAAAATAGGTAGCACATAAATAATTTGTCATTGAGTAACACTGTAAGCCAGGCGACGTAGGAAACACTATCATATCACATTTGATCCCTAGTTGCCCATTGGTAAGTGAGCCTCTGGGGCTGGAGGGATCGTGGCTGGAAGTCATTAAGCAGAGTGTGCCCACCAGAGTGACCGTCAATGAACGGCAGCTGGACAATACCATATGCCTGTTCCACCTACTTTTAAAAAAATGCCTGAAATTTTTTAAAAGCATGTTATTTATGAAAACAGCAAATTATAGAATGGTTTGAAAAATGTACCTTTTCATTATTTTTAATCTCAAGAGTACAGGTGTTTAAATCTTAAGTCTTGGCTCTACCAAAGCGTGATTTAGAGCAAATTAACTCATCTCTCTTAATTAATTTAGTTCACCTCTCTGACCTTCATTCTCACTAATTAAACTGAGAGTCCCAGGTGCTAAGGAAAGCTAAATGCAATTGTGGTTATTACCACAGTTGACAAAAAAAAATACCACTTAGCATCCAGGTATTTTTATTTACAGAGGTGAAGAAGGATGTGTTGGAGAAAAATCAAATTAAATGGCCCATTGTGCTCATATAAATATAAAACAATCTGTTTATTTTTTAAGGAAGGCAATGTGAGGACTTTGGGGGGGGGCAGGGATGGGGCACTTAGCTGGGCATTCTAACTACTGGGATGCAGTAGTCTGAATGTTGGCTTTCCCTGAAAATTCATATTTTGAAATCCCAACCCCCAAGATGAGGGGGGGCTTTGGGCGTGATTGTATCAGGAGGGTGGAGGGCTTGTGAGTTGATTAGGGCCCTTCTTCTACAGAAGAAGCCTGAACAACTCATCTGCCACCTATGGAGGACACAGGAAGAAGGTGTCATCTACAAAGTAGGAGAAAAGCCTTTGCCAGACCTTGAATCTCTGGATATTTTCATCTTGGACGTCCCAGCCCTAGAATTGTAAGCAATAAACATCTGTTGTTTATACGCTACTTGGTCTATGGTTATTTTAGTCAACTGCTTTTTGCTGATGTGACAAAAAGATCTGAACAGAAAAATTTTAGGGAAGGAAAAGTTTATTTGAGGGCTCATGGTTTCAGAGGTCTGGGTCCATAGAGAGCCGGCTCCATTCCTCAGGGTTTGAGGTGAGGCTGGACATCAAGGTGTGCCGCAGTCTGTCTGGGCACAATTCAGGAGCCACTTGTCAAAAGAAACTAACTTTATTTTTAGAACCACACAGGCCAAACAAAACAGCTCCTCAGGAAAAAACCCTCAGAGCCCAACTGCCACCACCTGCTTCCCACAAGCCTCTCACCCCCACACCAGCCTCTCCACCTCCCACAGTCCTCCTGCTCTTGAGGCCGATTGGCTGGGTTGTGTGGGCGGAGCCAAAGAAGTCCCCCAATGAGCAGCTCCGTGGTCTGAAAGGGCAGGGAAACAGCCCAATGAGCATCACCGCAGAGGAGCCAATCAGCTAGATGTTGCTCGGGCAGCTGTGAGCCAATCATCAGCTGTCAGCTGGAAGTTTGCTGGCAGCTGGAAGTTTGCTGGGGCCCCTTTGGCTGTGGCTCTCAACAAAGGTGGAAGAGTGTGGCAGAGGGAAGCAGCTCACATGGTGATCAGGAAGTGGAGAGAGACTCCACATGCCAAATACAAAATATATACTCAAAGCTACGTCCCCAAGGCCCACCTCCTCCAGCCACACCCTACCCAGGGACAGTTATCACTGGGTTAATCCCTATCAGGGGATTAATTAACTGATTGGGTAAAGACTCTCACAACCCAATCATTTTACCTCAAAACTTCCTTGGAGTGTGTCACACATGAGCTTTTGGGAAACACCTCACATCCAAACCATAACAATGGCATTTGGTAACAGCAGCAGAGAGTTCTCCTATCTCACATCCCAGATTGGTTGAGAAAAACACCTGGATGGCTTTTGGGAAGAGTGGACCCCTCTACATAGAAACAGAGTCTTCTTTAAGGAAAACATTCAGGATTGTAGCCTTTGTTGTGTGGGTTCTCCTGTTATCAGGATGGCTCTGGTAGACGGGAGAAGACCCGGTTGGACTGCTGTCAAGGCAGATAGCCCGGTGCGCCTGTCAGGGAACCTACTGTAGAAGCAGGAAGTGATGCTGCTTCTGGAGCTCAACGCTGGCCTTGTGTTTGCTGCAGAGCTGGATCCAGGCACATCCTCAGGTCAATGCCAATGTTCCTGGTAAACTAGGCACTCTGGCATCGAGAGGGGTGCTTCTCCAGCCAGCTGGGTGTAGACGTGTTTAGGTGTGGATGTGATTATCTGTATGTGTAGGTGGCCTGGAAGAACAGCCTTAAGACCACCAACACAGGAGGCCACAGGCCTGGGTGAGAATCACAGTCCCCACTTACCTATGCCTACCTGAGTCTGCTCTGTGAGACTCAGTTTGCCCCATAAGATTGCAGGCAGAATGAGTATTGCTATGGTGAGACAGTAACACAGAATGAGTGGATACGAAATGGCTTTTACTAATTTGCTTTGATCAATTCAACTAATTACTGGGCTGGCTAGCCATCCCCTAATGCGTAGAGCCCATTTCCACACCACCTCTCATGCTGGGCAGGGTCTACACCAAATTCAAGGAGCCTGGCATGGCCCCTTGACTCGGTGCTTCCAGGGTTGGACAAACCCCTCATCCTCATCCTCTCACACAAGGTCAGGTACCAAAACCATACACCAGCTCAGCCTTCCCGTTATGGGAAATGGACTTGAAGTCATTCAATTAACCTCCAGGAGAGACATTAGGTCGTGTTCCCCCCCAGACCAATAAAGGAGAACATGCCCACCCCTGAGACTTATAGCCCCTGCCTTTGGAAACTTCTCCGAGGATAAATGGCCTGAAATACACAAACCAGATAGAGACTCAGAGATGGGCTTATAAAGAGCAGGGCCTTTCTCCACCCCTTCCTCGCTTGCCTAGTTTTCCTTTAGGGCTTCACCTTCACAGATGGGGACTGATGGCTGGAAGCCCAGAAGTTCCCGGGGGATCACATTGTTTCTCAACGTGGGCTGCTCTAGACACGGAGAGCCAGGGCCCTGCTGCCCTCGATACCCTAAGGAAGGTCCCAGGGGTGTAATGGGAAGGACAGATGGCAACAGGAAGGGCAGAAGGGTGGAGTGTCCTGGAAAGCAAGGCGTTGGCAGGAGCTGGCCAAGTCCTTGTCATCCCTCTCCTGGTGATGAGTCATTTGTCCATGAAAGCAAGATAATGTGGCTTCAAAAAAAACATATGCGAAGAGTTTAGCAGACATGATAGAACCTAGTTCCTAAAACTGTGTGTGTGTGTGTGTGTGTGTGTGAGAGAGAGAGAGAGAGAGAGAGAGAGAGAGAGAGAGAGAGAAAGAGAGAGATTGAGGGAGAAAGAGAGATGGGGAAGAGGTCGTGATTCAAGATCCTAATTCAGAAAGATGGACCTCTTTTTTCTTAATGCTATTTGAAAAAAAATAATGTGTCCTAGTTCAAGATCCCCTGCTTGCCTATGGCTTCATTTAAAATTCTGAGCTAATGGCTTAACAGTCAGACATGTTCTTCAGGTGGGATAATTAAGCCTCTTACCTACCAGAACAATCCCTCAGAAGCTGTCTTCAGAATCTCCTTGGTGGGTGGACAGTGCCACCCAGTGTCCGGATGAGGGGACTACAGAGCACGATCCTTGGCTTTAGCTCCTCCAGTCTCTTGTTGCTGGATGGATTCCCAGGTGCTGTGAGGGTTTCTGCAGCTACCAGTGTTTTCAGCTGGAGGATAGAGAGGAGGGAGGATGTCCTAGAGCCAGACAGGCAGGCAGAGGTGGTGACCAGTGTGCTCAGGAAGGCACAGGAACGCCTCGTGGTTTCCCCAGCACCTCAAGCATCTGGCTCTGTGTGACAGTCCAGCCTGCTTCCTCTTCCCAGGGTGCATTCCCCACACTGTTCTTAGTGCCTGCACCTCTTGGGAGACCTGGCTGAAGCATCACCTTCTTGCGAACCCCTGCCCTGGTAGAATCAAGCATCTCCTTCTGCTCCCATAGTACATAAGTATGTGCCTCGATGTTCACATATTTGTCTCCCATGTACCCTATGGGTCCTGGAGTGTGGTCAAACTTGCCTCAGTATTCTGTGTATCCTCCAAGGTTCAGCAAGAGGATCTTGCAATTAATATTGATAGGAGTGTGCAAGAATAAGTGAATGCAAAACCCAAGAATGGAAAAGTGTGCACAGTAACAAATGGGAGCAGAAGATTACAAAGATTTTAGGAAATCTAAAATTCTAGGAATCTAAAATGATAGAAGCCATGTCATTAGGAGAAAGGAAAGGGCAAGAGAGTGCCTTCATTTCATCATCAGAGAAAGAGCTATTTGTGTAATTCTAAAATTAATATAATAAGGATCATCATGCTCATGACTTTAGAAGCACAGGAGAGTCACAGAATGGCTTAGGCTGGGATTAAAACACTGAAATTCAGGTCACTAAAGCCATTAGAGAGGGTTCCAACTATGAATTTCTCTAAAATGTAAGATTTCTTGCCTGGAAACTTCTCATTTAATGAACTTTTGGCTTCCCAAACTACAAGTGTCCAAAATGTCTTCCATTCTCCACTTCCCCTAATTTCAACATCCAATTAATCATCAAAGTGAGGTTCTGTTATACAAGAACCAGCTCTTAAATCTAGTGGCTCTGACCCATGCACACTGTGGGGCATGGCCCGGACCCTCAGCCTGAGCTGCTTTTCAAAGTTCTCTACTCAGCTTGACCTTTTTCCAATCAGCCTATATCTACACTTCTGTCAGAATGACCTTCCTAAAACACAAATGTCATTTCAAAACTCTCCAGGGGACTATTCTCCATCATGCACAAGATGAAGCCCAAATTCCATGGTGTAGCATGAAGGGCTTCCATGCTCTTAGCTTCATCCCCCTCCATGTCACAAAGCTGGACATCACCAATGTCCCCAGAACAAATCATGCCCTTTCCCACTCCAAGCACTTTCACTTCTCCACACCTTTGAACCTGCTGTTTCCTCTGCTGGCGATACTCCTACATCTGGACCCCTTTTCAAAGAAGGCCGGGGTGCGGGGTGGGGGGGGGCCTTCCATTGAGACTCAGCTTTGGGAAGAACAGAGGTGGCCGGTGCTCCCCACCCCCACCCCATGCTCTCCCTGTACATGGCTGCACCCCCAGGGGTTTTTCAAGCCTCTGCTATAAAGGGGTTTTGCTGAGTGCCTCAGTCTGCCCCCACTGGCTGAAAGTGATCCAAAGGAGTGCCTAGCTTTGGTATCGGGGGTCTTCATTTCTAGCATGGAAAGGACTATAGCAAATGTTCAGAACAAATTTATGAAATGAACAAATAAATAATTAAAAGTGAATGGAGGGACACTCATGAAGAAAACCCAGCTTTGTCAGACTGTAGCTCAGGTATCCATGGGCCACTTCCCCAACAGGACTCTTCACCTTTGCCCATTAGTTCCAACTAAGGCAATGCTCATTCTTCAAGATCTAGCTCAAATGTCACATATCACTCCCCCACAAAGCGTCTGTCCATAATTAATTTACCTGCAGATTTTTGTTTGCCTTGTGACAATGTTCTGTGCCACCAGTTCCTCACTGCCTCTTATCAGAAGAAAAAAAAAAAAAGAAATTGCAAGACTCCTGTGGGCCAGGCACTGTGCTAGACACTGGACACACAAAGTTGAGTAAAGTAGAAAAGGTCTCTGTTTCTTTGACCCTTATATTTCAGTGGATGGAGACAGGTACTAAGGATACACACAAAAAGAGTTCACTGCTTAAAGGACAATAAAACTGGGCAAAGTGATCGCATAACTTTCTGCATGTGGTTTGAGTGATCGCATAACTTTCTGCATGTAGTTTGTAGTGAGCAGAATTCAGTTTCACAAAAGGAGGATTCACAATCAGCAAAATAGTAATGCAAACAAAAACTGACCAGAAAGGCTACAGAAATAGGCTCCAGTCAAAGGTCCATGGGTATTTCCCAGAGCCACACGGAAGAATTGCCTGATAAGTGATCCACTGCTCTTCATTCCAGAATCACATTGTCAACATGGTCTCATCAAAGTTGATTTCCCTTCATCCAACCTCAGAACGAGGGCTCACTGTCAAGAACATAGGAAGCTTCCCTCTAGCCTGAGATTCACACAGAGTGACCCGAAATACTCAAGTTACTGGCCCCAAGAAAGGAGAAGGCAGTCACTGAACTCTGATGAACTGTTAGGACTTTTAATTTCCGTTTTCTTATGCAAGTTTTCCTTTCCTACTGCCTCAAATAGCAAAAGATTCAGATGTGTTAAATGGAGTTTGTGCTTTCAGTGACCTTACAGAGGGACTAAAGCTTTTGGTTCCAGTCCCTTAGGACAGGCCACTTACTAAAAGTCTAGAACTGTGACCAGGCCCAAGACACACATGTAGTTCACGTGCTTGGGGCCCAAAATAAACCCCACAGAAAGCGTGGGATAGTCAAAAGGGTCCCTTCTGCTCCATAATAATTCCCTTTCTGTAAAGTTGAATTTTTTTTGCCTGTGAAACTTGTAAATAGCTTACTGAACGATCACATTCTTGGTTGATTATAAGACAGAGTGAGTTTATTCTCACCTGACAGTCTTCAAACAAGTGCTGCGGGCTACTCCTTTCCTGTCCCTTCCTTAACTTCAGGAAGAGGGGGGGCTAGAGGACAGTGGGAAAGCATCTCAGCACTTAGTCGAGGGGTCTTCCCTGGGTACGGTGGACTTTCAAATCCAGAGCACATCTCAGTGCTTCCAGGAGCCCCCTGGGCCTCTGACACAGGAGAGCACTTTGGTTTGACCTCGGCCTGACCATCTCTCCCTCCTGCCCAGGAAATACTCTCCAGGGTACCCTGCTACTTATTACCACTCCTTACCCTCACCTGTTGGCCACTTTCTTGCTGGGTAGAGCGAGGAGCCCTGGAAAGATCAGCTTGACGCTGGGTAACTGGTGGTTTCCACAGGGACCTTGAAAACTCACCCAAGAGTGAGCAAGCTGCCCACCACTCACCTCTGTCCACCCCGCCAGCCCTCTGCTTCTTCCTCTTTCCAGACAGACACAGGGGACGATGGGCAGGTGCACGACTCCAGCAGAGGTACACCAGGCAGGATGGCTGTCCCACGCCCTCCTGTAGGCAGTCTCCACTAGAGGGTCTTTCAGAGCACCCCCCAGTTTGATTTGAGTAGTGGGTGGGCACCACTGAGAGAGGAAGGGAAAAGGGGAAATGCAGTTTTTCTCCCTGAAAGGCAATGACTTGTATCTTTTTCTCACATTTTTTATTGGCACATTATATTTGCATATACCGATGGGATTTGTTGTTACCTATTCGTACCTGGAACCAATATAACAATATAATTTGGCCAATATCCCCACCCCCTAGCATTCCCTCCCTCCTTCCCTCTCCATCTTCCCCCCTTGGTCCCTCTCCTCTACTGATCTCCCTCTGATTTTTAGGAGACCCACCCCCACTTTGGTTTCCCTTTTTCCTCTCTAGCTTCCCCATACGACAGGAAACATACCACCCTTAACCTCTGAGTTGCCTGGTTTTGTTTAACAAGATGGTCTCTAGTTCCATCCATTTTCCCTGATGGCTGAATCAAACTCCACTGTGTATAGATACCAGGTTTCCTTTATCCATTCATCCCCTGATGGATACTTAGGATGGTTCCATAGTTTGGCTATTGTGAATTGTGCTGCTATAAACATGGGTGTGCACATCTCCCTGCAGTGAGGTGTCTTTCATTCTTCAGAATAAATACCAAGAAGCAGGACAGCTGGGCCAGAGGGTGGTTCCAGCCTAGTCCTTTGGGGACCATCCCTATTGATTTCCTTGGTGGTTGTACTAATTTACCACCCAACCAACAGGGCAAAAGTGTTCCTTTTCCTTTGCCTGCTTTCTAGTATTTATTCTTATTTGTACTCTTGATGACTGCCATGGTGTGGGATGAAATCTCAGTGTAGGTCTGATTTGCACTTCCCTAATTGCTGACGATGTGAACATTTTTTTCAAGTATTTGATGGCTATTTGTATTTCTTCTTTTGAGAAGTGTCTGTTTAATTCATTTTCCCTTTCTTTAATTGGACCATTTGATTGTGTGTGTGTGTGTGTGTGAAGTTTTTTGAGCTCTTTACAGGTTCTAGATATTAATCCTCTGTCAGAAGAGCAGCTAGCCCAGATGTCTCTCCCATTCTGTGGGTTCTCTCTTCACATTCTTAGTTGTTCCCTTTTCTTGGCAGCTGTCTAATTGGATGCCACCCCACTTTAGACATTCTGTGTAGTTGGCCCAATCGTTTCTGAATTTCCAGTCTCTTCTTTATAGAGAGGAGGCTGAAGGACACTGGTCATGGGACTGGACCACCTCATCCTGATGAGCTGAGGCAAGCGGCACCTTTACAATGGCGGCTCGGTGCTCCCAAGCTTGGCTTGAGGGCAGCAGCGTGTGGCCTCTGCTGAAGTTCACCCCCTGTCCTGTTGTGCTGTGTAGACACGGCTGCTCTAGCAAGGACAGTCATCAAGGTTGGAGATGTTAAAAATGGAGGACAAAGAAATGATCCATGAAAATCTTACAAACCAAGTAGAGTAGGTTGAAAGATCTTCCTCTCTTTTCTCTCCCAGGAAAATAAAGGCATTTATTTCTGTCCCCTTGGCTTCACATGGTTCAGGATTCAGGTTTCAAGTCGCCCAAGCATTTGAAGCTATGTGGCTTCCTTAAGCACCAAGTCCTCATCCACAGGATGCTGGG